CAAGTCCTCCAAAGCAATCCTCGGCGACAAACGGGGAAGCACTGTACACTGTATGCTACGACCAGGTGTTGCTCGCAGGAAGCTATGCTGATAAATGCTCAGCTGAACCCTGCTCAAACCAATCGGACGTCTGGGTGGCCATGTCATTGCATGGTTGTCGCCTTTCATACTGACTTTCAGTCGTGCTGTGGTGACCGTTGCCTGGTATCCTCACTCTTTCAAGCAATGTGCCCCTGGTACCATGTTTATACTCACTTCTCTTCTGCTACTGTGGTAGAGTGGTAGTAGTACATTCAGCCGCTACCCCCTATGCACAGTTCAAATTTGCAGCCCCAGAACCGAAGATATCCCCACGTGGTTACGTCTGGTATTGTGCATAGGCGAGGGCAAAGAGTGCTCAAACATTGACCGAAACTGCGATCTAATTCTAGTTCCTGTATCCTAAACCCTAAACCCTATATACCACACACCCCCAAACCCCAAGAGTAGAGATTCCTCAAGCTCGTGTGAGGGGCTGTTCCGTCTCCTTGTTCTGGCAAGCCTGAAAGATCTTTTCGGCTTTCAGCCTGCGAGACGTAGCAAGTTTTAGGGTAGGGTTTAGGGCAAAGCTAAGGGTTTAGGGTGCCCGACACCCTAAACCCTAAAAGGTAAGAGTTTTAGAGTTCGCAAGTTATGGCTTTCCTGCAGTCAAGGGGTTCAGAGCTAAGCCTTTGAGATGTGGGATCCGCCACAAGACTGGAGGGTCTAGACGCCAGAGATTCAGGTCTAGGGCAATCACCTGGATGCAGATAAAAAGGGTTATTTGGGGGTTTCCAAAAATAGGGGACCCAAATATAGTACCCTAAATAGTAGGACCCTTATTATAAGAACCCTGAAATAAGGTACCCCCTATTTTCGGCAACTCCCATTTCAGGAAGGCTGGGCTGATACTGGCTCTTCCTCTTGTTGCCAGCACGAGTAGGTCAGGAATGCGTCATTCATGAGCCGGGGCTCGAGAAGACCACTTGCAGCCGGGTAACAAATGGCAATGGTGAAGATGATCAGCATGGAACCACAACCAAGACGGTTCGAACCCCCCTAGCTCACAGTAGGGCTACGAGATTGACCCTTGCAATAAGCACTCGCGATATTCAAAATCGGAAAGCCTGTGCTGTAATTGTCAGAACGTTAGGCCCCGAACCCTACCGAAGGATTTGCAATGCCAGGTACCATCTAGGTTCATTGCCACGGCAACTGTCATTATCGGCATCGGCACGGTCAGCAGCGCATGTACAGGTACCGGCATCATCATGGTCGCCGTGGCCATCACCAGCATCCTCATCACCACCCTCATTTTCATGATCGCCAGCACATCACCGCGAAAATCCTCAGCCTACGAGTAATGCCACTGTCATAACACCGTAAACCTCAACCCCCAAAAGCATCCCGAAGCCCAAAGCCCTAAAATCCCTAATACCTATAAGCCCTAGCAAGCCCCAGAACCCTGGCCTGAGGGCATGCTCGCCACCATCAGGCATCTGCCCGGATCGCCGAAGTCCTGGAGACTAAGGTGCCTTGCCTCAGTAACCTTTACGTGATCCGGGCGCATGCCAAACATACCATTGGGGGGGCCCTGCTCACGGAAGAAAGGCTTTGGAGTGTGTGTGCTGCTGTAAGCAATGCAGAAGCCCGAATCCTACAAGCAGGCCACTTCTCGAACTTCTCATTGAAAGGCTTGCGCGTTCCAAAAAGACAGCACCCCGGCGGATTACAAAGTCCCAAAACCCAGAGTCGGTCCTTTCATCAGCTGATCCACGTTCCTAGGTTGTAGTGTTGGGGATCCGGAAAAATGTATTTTGGAATAGGTACCTCGATCAGAACCATAAAGGAAATGTTAAAGTTCCCAAAACCCAAAACCCTAAACCCTAATAGAAGTTTCCCAAAGTGCCACCTAGGTTCTCGATGACCAACTTCAGCTCCGGATCCAAGGCTAAACGCCAGGCTTTCGCGAGGCCTCCGGAAGCAAGTGAGACAGGAAGGGGGGTGCGCTTTTCAGGCTTTGGGATTATGATTTGGGGTTGGAGGGTTTAGGGCTTCAGGGCTTAAGTTTAGGGAATCAGGGTTTGGCATTTGAGATGAGGTGCAAGCTAGAGTTCTGTCTGCACCGGGGATAACCTCCACCCTTGCGGTGCGACAGTTACTAGTTGACTGTTCCGAGGGATTTTTTTGCAGAGGATGCCATTGCAATGTGCCAGGGCCCAATCAAGCAGATGGGACTTGTGTGACAGTTTTAAACGACGAGCGCTGCGGAACCATAGGTGACATGGGCTGCAACAAGTGGGTGGCATTGAGTTATGTGCCCATGCACCTTCCAAGAACACGACAAAGTCATCAAAAGTTACTCGTGTGATCCGGCACCAACCCTCTTGGCTTCCGAGTCTGACCTATACGCCTGAAGGATTGTGTGGCTGCTCACCAACATGCCAAGTTGCTGCCGAACTTGTCTGTGAGTGCTCGGATGAAGTTCTCCCGCGCATCTCGGACCTCCTTCTTGCTGCTCCACTCCTGGCTCGGTTGTTCGCTAAGGCTCCCCCCAACACGAGAAATCATGGGGGAATTTGGCATTTGTGAAAAATGCCTGGCTCGGAAGGTCCCCAGCTCTCCTTCTTGTTCTTGTGCACTGTATAAGACCAAAATCTCAAGGCTGGAATTAGTCTTGGATCCGGAAAGGCAACAAAACGGCAGGATCTTCCGGCCCTTGCCAATGCGTGGCGCCCTGGGATGCCTATTCTGAACAACTGTTTGCTGCTAGTTGTCCGGCTCAGTACGGCTTTGCCGCGGGGGTCTGCCAAGAGAATCCAGACTTGGAACACTCCCGGAGTTGCTCAAATTCACCGACTCCTGTGCTCCCACCGCAAGACAGGAACAGCGAACCAGCATCATCGCCAGCACCGTCACCATCACTATACCAGCACCAGCACCAGCACAGCGCAATCCGAAACAGTGGAAGCCCCTTCAAACTGCTTCAAAGCTGGCTCCTCGAGGGAGCTTTCCCGGACGGAGTCCTCCAGGGCACACGGATATCTTTGATCCACAGGCCTAATTATCAATTCAATTGCATCTCTCGTTCATTCGATGTTGCTTGCTTGATGATGCTCTCTCCTTCTATTTGTCTGGTCATTACAACTGTTTTGGACTACTATCGCCAGCTTTGCTTGTGATCCTTGCAACTCTGCCAGCAGCGGATGCTTTGTGCGTGTAAGTGTATGACTTGAAAGCTCAGCTTTCAAGTCAACCACCAAACTAGCTAGAGCGTATCAGGAGTATTGCACGGCACGAGTTTTGTTTGTCGGACAATACGAATTCAGTATCAAGACCGAAGAGGAAGCGGTCCATGGAATGCTGTCCCTGGCCATGAACACGATGATCGGACAGCAGCCAGCGTCTTTCTCATGAGTTTTCCCTTCGCCCCTGACTTCGCACGATCACGGCGGCCCTTAGATATCGGCATCCTGCTTCGCCAGCAGCTCCCGCACAGGTGGCATGATCACGGAGGCGATCTTCTGCTCCAGGAGCGTCTGTTTGTTCTCGCGGTACCTTGGCCGGCAGAGATGATTTCCACACTAGTCAGTTCAGACTTCTGAGGTGGCTGGGGTGGTCTAGGACAATACTGGTGACTGGTGCCTGTGGCCGTTGCATTGAGACTGCAATAAACTCTCAGCAGCAACAGCAGCAAAACCACTTGAAATTGACTTGGGGTCTTAGCAGCTCACCAAACCACTGCGTCAGCTGATTTCTGACAGTACACAGCGAATCCAGTTGGATGGTCCGAGGGGATTGCGTCGTAATGAGTAGATAAGGTTTTCAACCAATCTTGACAATGACAAAAAGCAACTGCTAGTGAGTTAGATTTTATCAGACACTCTTGAACTGTTTGGCCTAACTAGACTCTCAAGCAATGGCACTATAATTAGCAACGATGCTATCGTGCATGAGAGCAGTCACCATTACAGTAACTGCTAGTCTCTTCCTAGAGACAACTTCCTCAAAGCTCAAAGCCATCCAAAGGTCCTGCTTTGCAAGGATCTAAAACATCCGGGAGACTTCTTCAAGTACTGCGGGACGGCCTTGCAACGAGCTTTTTGTGGCGCTTGGTGAGGCTACCGCGATGAATGCTCGCCGAGCCGTCACATCGACTGACTAATCACTTCCCGCTGCCAAACCCAGAAGTTTATGGGGTCTAGTAGGACTGGGGTTCGAGGCGAGCCACAGACCTGGAGACTCTGATTTGCAAGGCCGACCGGTGCAGTTCATGCATTAAGGGACAAAACCACACGCGTCTTGGATGTTTGCATGCTTCTTGCGTGTTGGTCCTTGCTTGGACTAATGTCTTTTCTCCCGCCAGATTGCCGCCGTGCGTTCTCGGAGGTCGGGAAAACACACTTTGCCCTTTCCATATTCAATGTTAGGGCGGCCCAAGTGCACGACATTCTCGGAGACATGGAAGGGGTCAGCGCGAACTGTGGAACTCCACCCAATACTACGTAGGCTTTACAAATGCAAATCGTAGGTTGTTGTGATGCCATGTCTTTGGCCAAACGCCAATGGGCAAGTACGATGGTTGAGCGAAAGTGGAAAACGCTGGACGCACACGGCGGTGTATCCACGCGCGAATAAGTCGGGCATCATGACAAAAGGACGAAGAACACAACCATGACACTAGCGAACCAAGAAGAACAAGAGAGAGAACTGCACGTGAAAACACAGCAGTGCTACTAACAGCTATGGCTGCAAGTGTAATTATACTTGTCACTCTGGCTGGTCTGCAGAGTGAGCAGGCTTGATGCAGAATCCCTTGGAACTCCGAGGGCACATTCAATGTCAGAAGTGTCAGCGAAAAATCCTCGCAGATCTCACAAGTGTGGTGCTTTACACGACGTCAGACTTGATCAAGCGGTAGACTAACCCTAAACCCTAAACCCCAAACCCAAAACCTCCCTAGACTTTGCATCCTGACCTGCCTTCTCCTCGCTCTTCTGCTCGTTGAGAATGCGCAGGGTTCTTGTGTTCACATAGCCCATGTTGCCGGGATCCAGATGCCTCCGCCACCCATTCCACAAGGCATCATAGTGAACCAACGCAGTACGGAAACAAAAACACCGCGACACTAGCACCACTGCACACATGACATGGTACTACACCTAAATAAACAAATAAATGTGTGTGTGTATATATATATGTATGCGCAACCACATATATACATCTATGTATGTTCATACAGACGTAACTTCCCGACAGTGATGCACCTGTCATACACCACGGTTAACGACACAGCACCCTCGACCCAAAGTCTGTGCACATGTCTTGCCAGCCTCAGCAGCCTTTCTGCATCACCGGGGTAATCAATGGCGTCGATGACCTGTCAGAACAGACGGCTGTCGAACTTGGCCGGGCTTCAGCTCTCTGGTTCTTAGTAGTGAATGTGGGAATGGGTTATTGGGACTACTATACGAGACCTTAAGGGACTATCATAGGGATCCATTCCCCCATTCCCCACTAAGAACCAGAGAGTCAGAGTCAGGAGCTCACTGCAGGTATCGTGTCATGCATGGCCTTGTAGTACTCGTCGGTGTCGACAGGCACGCCGGCCTTGTGCACTGGCTGCTCGATTGTGAGCTTCCCTAAAAGGTGCACATGAGGTAACAGGTAACTGGCTAGAACTATGATCCAAACCAGCGTTAACTCCCTCTACGTCTGATTCCGCAGGACTGCTTGCAAAAGACACAGCATCTAGCATCAGAGGAAATTCGTGCACGAGATGCTGGAAGCCCCCAGTGCTTGTCGACACAAGCCTGAACAGCCTGAACCATAAGCCCGACCTCGGCGATGAGCCGACTTCACGTGAGATTGGGCACCATCTGGTGCCACTGCTTGCGGTTTGTATACGCGGGACCCTGGAACGCTCAACCAACAATGCCGACAGAAACGGCAGCATCCGAAACCGGCCTGACTTCTCCACAGAAGCCCATCCCGAAAACCAAGCCCCGAAACCCCCGTGCCCTAAAACCTACAGAGGCCTAAACACCCCCCTCAACCCCAAACTCTAAACCCCTAAACCATAAAACCCTAAACCCCTAAACCCCTGAACCCCAAACCCGAAAGAAACTTCGAAGGAAAGCTGGGGCCTGGCCTTCTTGCTCTTGCCGGGGCCTGCGGCCACCTCGGAGACCTCCGGAGGCTCTGCGAAGGCTCGGGTTTGGGGTCTCGAGGTTTAGGGTTAAGTGTTCTAGAATAAAACTACAATGATAGATAAGAAGATCTAACATAATGTGACGTAATATTTATACGATATAACTGCTACTAAAATAACGAACACAATATCATACTATAACAGTACACCTCAGGGTTTGGGGACGTCGTTTGGAATCTTCAGGTCTAGGCTAGGGCCGGGGGATTCAAGGTTTCAAGTTGAGTTTAGGCTTCTCAGTAATGGGCTCAGAGGCTGCTTGAGGTAGTGGCGGCGATTGCGGCCTTGTCTGTGACAAGTACAACTTCCCAGTCTGCTGGATACCTTGACCTTGAGAGCCCCAAAAGCTGCACTCTGAAACCCGTAAGCCCTAAACCCTGAAACCCCCTCTCAGCCTGGATCAAGGTAATGATCTTCTTGCCGGCCATGTTCTTGAACTCGCGGATCTCCTGGCGTGGAAGGAGTCTCGGGGGACTAGGCAGACTTCGGGTTCAGGGGCTTAGGGCGTGCTTAAGGTTAAGGTAGGTCGGGTTAGGGGCGCAGAAGATCCTTTCGAGGTACTTCGCTTCTACAGAATGTCCTGCAGGTGTGTTGATGGTCATGCAAAACCTGGAAGAGGGTTTGAAGCTACTCTCGCAGCCTTGCAGCAGGGTCTGTCTCAACGTGCTTTTTCTAAACAGCGACACGTTCAAAGGCAATTTCCACTCAGAACGCCCACCTACCACCTCAGCGGCTTTTCACGACAATCGCAGCTGCCCAAAAATAGCAAATTCTAAGCCCTTGGTGGCCGCAAACGCGCCAGGCTGGCGTCTATCACTTCGGGACATAGGTCTTTAAACCTGCGGCAAAGGCTCGTATGTCAGTCACATGGTTCTTTCGATCTATCTTAAGAAGCCTAGAAAATGTCATATATCCTTATCAGCAATAGCAGAAGGATCCCCTCCTGTATGGAGGGGCGACGGTACAATCTGGACCTCATACGTCACACGTCAAGGATATGTAACCATGTAGATGGCTATGTGTTGAACAGCCACAGGTGGGGCCACTTCCCAGAGCGAGTACTAGCACTGGACGGCGTCTGCAGGCTTGTTTCGTGCGCAGAATGGGGAGTATCGGTAAGCTTAGTGATGGTATGTGGGGCTTTGAGATGTGGGTCCTCCATCGTCGAAGCCCTGAACCTGGGCAGCTCGCAACCCAAAGCACAAATATGTCCTAAGCAAACCAAAGCCCACGGTTCAACACCATCCTGAAGCCCAAAGCCCTAAGCCGTAAAGTCCACAAGCGAAGATAACACCCTGAGCAAAGGCAGGCCTGACAGACTGTTTTGGTTTCAAGCCCATCTCTTCCTGGCATTCTTTGGAATTCCAGGGTGTTCTTTTGTCGGAAGGGGAGGCGTCGTGGGGGCTGTAGGAAGCTGGGGATTCTCCGTAAAACTTTCCCATTCTTTGTCTAAGCCCCGGCAAGGTCTTAGGATTTTGTAAAACTGGTCGTGCTCTTGGCACGATGCGGACAAACCAAGGCCCTCGGCTTGGGTGTGCCTTCTGGCATCTTGTCGAACCCTGTTGCGGTAGGAAGCATTCCCTAGCTAGGTGCGCCGGCATCAGCGCAACTATGACTACACTGCCACCACTGTCGCCGCTACCATTTCCGATGACAATAACCATACCATGAGACCAAGCGTCACCAGGGTCATCTGAACATCATGGCCGATGCTTATATATATATATAGAATCAGGCTGGCACTGCTAAGCACCTGCGCCGTCTGCGCCCAACTGCCCTCCCCAAGCTGATCCCCAAACCCATTCAATCAGAGCCGTTTCGGCCCAAAGCTTCTTCACGTTCCCGGCATAGCCCAGGACGGACATGCTGGTCTGGAACTCGCGCCTAAGGCGAGAGTTTGGGGGTTCCTTTGTCAAGGGGTTTGGGGGTTTAGGGGTTTGGGGGTTTAGGGTCTAGGGTTCCTTGAAGGGTTACCCCTTAAGGGCTACGGGTTTGGGGGTGCACGGTGTACCGGATTTAGAGACTGGAGATCAGGGCTCAAAGGCTTGCATCCCTGGGCCTGGGGGGGTTTTAGGGCTGCGGTTCGGGCCTGAAACTCGGACCCAAACGCCTCGCGAGTCTGAAGCCCCGAGTTCAAACCATCCAAGATACATCTAGACTTGTGTGTGTGTGTATACTTATAAATAAACATCTATATTTATATGCATAGTTTTGCTTTTACCTGCATGCCTGTATATGATATGTATATATATATATATATCTACACTGGTACCTGTAGACAATGAATACACACAAAAATACACATATGCATCTGTACATAGACTTTTGGAGGGAACCTCGAAAGTCCTGAACAGTAATCTTTGAATGAACCCTAGCGCTTGACCTTGGCACTATCAGACTGAAGATGTTGGCGGCCTCTTCAGCTTCCCCTTTGCGTGGAGGTCCAAGAGGTTCGCCCAAGCGCGCACCGGAGAATCGAACCGCGCCTGCGTTCTCAGCAAAGCCAAAGCTTGGCCAACAGACTTTCCGAACAAATATCTGAGCTCGAATTCACAAGGCCATGATCCAGGAACAACCTCTTGAGTGCCAGCTTAAGCGAGTGCCTATGCTTGTCTGCAACAGAACCTGATACAGCAGCTCCTGTCCTCGAGCAGCTCCACAACCTCCTGCCATTGCGTGGAGTTTAGAGCTTCCGGTAAGGGTTTCATGTTCCTAAATTTCTCGGCCCACGGCATATGCACGTTGCTCCTCTTTTGAAGCCTGAAAATCGGCTCCTGAAAATCAAAACACACTGCTGGACACGCAGTGTGCCTCTGCTACAGCATGCAGGGTGTTGATGTTATGGAAACGGGACTTCCCCGTTCCGGCTCGCGGACCGAAGCCTAAGTAACTCAAGCCCTGCAGCATACATATTATGTGTGTATGGTATGTATATATATATATATGGGGGATAGATGGATAAATAGACAGATAGATAGATTCTGTATATCGGCATGCGGCATATGTGTGTGCATATATATATATACAATTATATACATATCAAAATCCTATTGGGCTGTTCTGAACAAGATTGTCTTTCTTGGTGCCCTTCCTGTACTAGACCTGAGTCCTCGCTAGTACCTTGGCGGGAAGCCTGAAAGAGAGCCTTGTGTAGCCCCGGCAGCAGACCCTCTAGTTCGGAATATCTAACTCACTTTTAAGAGAGTGTATGGAGCCAGTAGGGTGTGGGGTTTAGGGTTTAGGGTTTAGTGACTCATTCAATTTAATTGCCTCGGCTCTGGTAACGCAAAGGGTGAGGTCCCAAACCACGTCCCGAAGCCTGCCGCCGCTGCCGCAGCTCTTCGGGAGCCCGGTGGGTCAGTGCACACTGCTCCACCTGAAAAGGCTCCGAGTGCTGGGTTCTAGATTTTGCTTAGGGCTTGGGGTTGAGGCTTGCAGCATAGTCATCTACATAGAATGCAACTTCTGTCCACAGGCAAATCTACAAGAATCTACAACTTGCTCCAAAATTCTTGCAGATGGGGCATCCTGCCGAAGTCGAGGCCGGCATGCTGTCGTATGGTGTGGGGAAAAAACTGCTCAGGTTTAGGATAAGCTGTAGCTTTCCCTCTCCTCTCTGAAACTTGCCGGGTGCCCGGCCGCACGGCGGTGGATGGTCTTGTGCTCCTGTCAAAGTCAGGCACGTCTCGTGGAATTCGATCTGCGCATGTAATGTGTTGGTCTGACCTGAGGTTGTCATGACGTGCAGGGACTTTGTAATTATGGTTTTTCTAAACAAATGTACCAGGATCTAGTTGGCCCAGGCGTCAGACCCAAACTTCAAGCCTTGAAGAATTGAAGAAGCAAGCCCCGGAGTCTTCAAATCCACACACCCCAAGCCAAATGCAACGGCTCCTAGGCTTTATGCGGTTTGGGGGGTTGGGGGCTTTAGGATGTTAGAGTTTAACATCCTGGGGTCTTCCTTTTGGCAGGGCCCGGGCTCCCAAGAAGTCTCAGGAGCGCCGAAGCGCACAGAGGAACCCTGGGCCTTAAGAGCCCTGCCCTCCTCATACCGGACTTGAGATGGAACAGATGAAACAGAGCCTTCAGCCCACAACCCCAAACCTTCTACAACCCTAAACGCCTGAACCCCCCAAAATCGTAAACCTTCTACACGCAAACGCCTTCTTCTCCGGCGACCTTTCGGCAAGCTGGGCCTTCGAAAGCAGGCTGCAAGCTCGGGTGACCGTCATCATGACAGATAAACATGCACATAATCATGCTAACCAACTTATCAACCTAAGCTGTCGCGATGGCAGTCTACGTAAGTTCGGGGTTGGGAGGGTGTAGATTTTACTTCACCTCTGTGGTTGCATGAGGTCTAGGCTAGACCGCAGGGTGTCTCCTTGCTATTCCTTTGTAT